TTTATAAACATAAAAATTATAGCGAAAAATAGAATTTTAAATTTGAAATTTAACACCCTGTGTCTTTCTTAATATCTACATGTATCTTAATCGTAATATTTTAAATTGTAGCATCTACTGGTTCTTTTTATACAATTACTTAAGGACCACCCTGTATATCGAGAATACATCTTTTATGTTTCAAAGACATCGTTTCCACAACAGCGATTCACACTGCGAAGTTGAGTACGCAGGCCATCACAATCCCATCATTTAAGGAACTATTTTTTTTTAGTTAAACCTCCTTTCATAACATGTGTTTCTATTTTCATATTTACGCTCAAAAGTACAACTGCTAAATAAATATTTATTTTCTTCAAACGTCAAATAATGATGACATTACTGATCTAACTTGATCCTGTCAAAGTTTGATGTCTCCGCTGGCAGCAGTTTTTTTTCCCATTTCTTTACGGAGGAGGGAAAGATGTTGTCATGGCAACAATATGAAACATGTCACAAAGCAACAATACAAATGTCATTAACAACAATTAAACATCATTTTTAATTATAGTAATATTAAAAGTACAATTAGTTAATGAGTCATTTTCAAAATTGAAACCGTGCAAAAATGTTCCCGACTCTTGATACCCATTGGTAATTGTTGATGATACTGATGGTTGAGAACAACTGTCAGCAATCATTCTCGATGTTGGCGGCTTGCGAACAACAATAAGCTGTCTTTAATAATTGCAAACAACTGTCAAACAACTGTAACCAGGGAAACGCAAATCCCCCCGACGACTTAATTATTTTAATTTCTAACATCTAGACGACTTTGATAGTTGTCACAGTTAATTTCGAGTAAAAATAGCGTATGAATTGTACTATTTATGGTTGAAAATTGCTACGTTTGAAGAAAATAGTACATTGTTTACCGGGTAGGAAAAGCTTAACATTCCTGGACGACTGTGAAGATTGCTAAGTCGAGGCGCAAGCCGAGACTAAGGAACACAGAGTCCAGGAATGTGGCTTTTCCTACGAGGTAAACATACTATTTTTCCGCAAATCGTTTAAAATTCGACAGATATTGATTGATTTAAAAAAAAAACGCGATAATTTTATTCCCAAATAAATGGTGCTTTGAAATTCCTAATAAAATTACTTGGGTTACTATGGAAACGTATTGAGGTTGAATTCTCAAACTTGACGCTTATAAATTTAATTGCTGGTGTTCTCGAAAGTAAAATGATAAGTGATGATGAAATTTCCATTCCTGGGACTCCTCCAGAGCTGGTTGAGGCAGTGAATACTGCTAAGAATTATTGCCACAGAAATCAAGAGAAAAGTACGAAAATGCATACAGACGTTTTATGGATTATCGCATGAGTAAAAATACGAGTTCTTTCTCAGAAAATGTTGTAATGGCATACTTCCTAGACCTTTGTTTAAAGATGAAATCTTCAACATTATAGGCCAATTATTCAATGCTGAAGTCAACCCTTGCACTTAAACACAATGTAGATATATCTACATACTCAAAACTTCGTTCTTAATTGAAACGGCAAGCTCAAGGTTATAGGGCAAAGAAATCTAAGATTTTAACGAAGGAAGAAATTGAAAAATTTATCCAGGAAGCTCCAGATAAAGAACATTTAATGATTAAGGTAATTTACAAGGTTTTAATTTCTATTTAGATTATAGCTTTATTTATTTTTTAGGTGGCTGTAATATTTGGTATTTCTGGGGCCTGTAGAATGGATGAGTTAGTATATAGGATGATATAGAAGACTTAGAATCTAAGCTTTTAATCAGCATACCTGATTCGCAAACCAACAAACCAAGATCATTTGTAATTAATCAGATCTACTTGAATGTTTATCGAAAGTATGTTTCGTTAAGACCAGAAAATATGAACAGTGACCGATTTTTCTTTAAATATCAAAGCGGAAAGGGTTGTACACAAGTGGTAGGAATTCATCAATTTAGAAAAATGCCCAAAATAATTGCTACTTATTTGAACTTGGCAAATCCGACAGAATATACTGGTCACTGCTTTCGTCGGTCTTCTGCAACAATATTGGTTGACTCTGGTGCCGACATAACTAGTTTAAAGAGGCATGGCGGATGGAAGTCATCAAACGTTTCTGAAGGATATATCGAAGAATCGCTTAACAATAAGGTTGAGGTGGCAAATAAAATTTTCACAGTACAAAATATTCAACAAAATGACACTTTCACCCTGCATGTTGTCCAAAATGTTTCTCATAGTTCTAAGAGTGTTCCTCCAATGTTCAATAATTGTACTAACTGTCAAATTACTGTAAATATAACAAATTGATCTTAAAAATGTATTCAGCAATGACTTGATGTTTTCAAAATTTTAATTAATTCCTTATAAGCAATGTGTTTTCTATCATTTATGTAGAACACTAACAACTGTACGGAAATATAATTTCCTTACAGTAAGGAAATGACATTTCCTTACACTAAGGAAGTCCTGACTTTTTCTTCAAGAAATTTTGACAGGAATGTCAAAATTTCCTGGCGATTTGCGGAAAAATAATATTCTTTATTCGACAAAGAAGCGACTTTTCTTGACTTGCCCTCTATTATAATATATATCTAATATCGGGCGCGTCAAGAAAAGTCATGCTTCTCCGCCTCATAAAGTAATATACTATTTGTGATTTTGTTTTTTATCTACTAAAAATATATATCAATAACAAGACTGAAACTTATTAAAAAATATTTTTCCTTTATCTCGTTTCCGATAACTGTGATTGCTGTCACACATTCTAGAACTGTTCACAATAATAACGAGTAGACGAGTATAAATCGGAGATAAGAAAATACGTTAGAATAAACTACTGATATGTTTAGAGTATGTCATATACCTAACAAGAAATTTTTCCACACTAAGAAACTTATTTAACAGTAGCTGAATGGAATAAAAATTTTTAAGCGTTTAGAAATTTGTTTTTAATAGTATAATGGTTTTCGAAGAATTTTGGTTGTTGAAGGTGAATGTTATACCTTGACCGAAATTTGGATATTTTACGATTTCAAATGTTGATGTGCTACTATTTTTTAGTTAATTGAAAAATTTAATCTTTTTCGATAAAGACTACATTAAAATTTACACAGCACATATCCTGGTGATACCTATGATACCTATTATTTTTTTTTTCATTTTTTTGATGAGGTAATTTTTTGTTTACAGGTTCTTCTTATTACTAGAATATGCATCATTCTTCTCTTTGTATCCCATGTGGTTCTCTATTGATTTAACTCACAAACTTTTCTGTTCTGTGCCATATCAACGTAAATACCTGTTATACGCATATCCTGTCTCCACTGATCGAGTTGTTTCTCCAATTCTCTCTCTCAGACTTCCCTACCAACACCAAATCATCTACATCCATTAATTAAATAAATCAATTTGTTAATATTTTTTCTATTCAAACTTTTCTAGTTTTTTTTTTAAGTGGAAAGCAAAAGTCTGGGTTTTTGTTTATTACCTCTAGCCCATCTATTGTTAGATCTTCTAATAGGAGGGCAGTGAGTATTCAGTTTGTTTGCCATCCGATAATTTTATCAAGTATTTATTTATAGATTTTTCTTTGTGTTTTTGCATTTCTAGGCGTAGCCTTTGGATGGCTCTGTTTAGTCTACTTTAATATACAGTCTCCATTTCTCTGCAACCATTTTTTTGATTTCTTTGGGATAGTTTCTATCGGCCGTCATTCTCTTTATGACAGATGTATAGTTCCACGCTGCTTGTTCGATCTCCTGAATAAATGTCTCTAATTTCTTGTCAAGTTGGTCTTTCCTTTTCAATGGTACGTTTAGTTAAAATTTTTTTGTTAGTTCAGCTTGGAATACCTCCTAATCGGTCCTCTTATTGGATATAGTAGGATTTGTTTCCTTTTTAATAATCTTTTCAGTGAGGTGACAATTTCTGAGTGACTTCAGTATAAATCAAATGTTAGTTTTCCTGTAAATGTCTACGTAGTTAGAGGATATTTTCTTTAATATGAACATCTCTAACAAATCCGGTATCTTGTTTGGATTGCCAATAAGTTGGATTGGTTGTCCGGTTGTCAAATAAGCGCAGCCGAGCTGAGCCATATGCAATTCATTGCGTGTAAAAATACGGTGCACTGGTGTGGTACCATAGCAGCCATAGCCACCTGGTCCATGCTCAGATGAACCGTGTAATGAGTATGATACTAGGCACAATTGTGCCCACTCCCGCAATATGGCTACCCACCCTTACTAATATAGCTTCATCCAATATATGTCACGGATACATATTGATTAAAAAATACAACAAAATTATAGATAATTGTAAACTTCTAGTACATAGCGACATTCAACATATTCCCGATATCCTTGGAAACCGACTCCGATTCAGGTTACTTCTCTTGAAATCCGTTCAAGCGCTATACGATTCCAATTTTAAATTAAATGCCCGACGGAGATAAGAGTGGTAAAGTAAAATAGATCCGCACTACCAATAGTGAGACAAATTTTAACGTTTCTGAAAGATTTGGGCAACTCTTAATCAAATCAGAACAAAACTGCGAAAGATCTGCCGACAGAATGGAGTAAACTTCCCTCCCTCGACCCGACTTTCTGTGATTGATCACTGCGAGGCAGACGATAAAGTACATAGAGCATGAGCATACACAGACGACCCTATAGACTTGTTAATGGTAACCGAAGAATCAATGGAATCTATGAAAAAACTGAACATCTATTCGTAACTCAAATAATTTGTATTATGTAAAAGATGTTAATTAAATTATATATATTCTGTTATTCTGTCATACGCTAAATAAATAAATAATAAACAGTGATAACTATGATATCATGTATAATGTTGTCAATAATGTGATACAGGCGAGCAAAAAAATAATTAAAACTGGACTTAATTTATCAAAAATATACTTTTTGTAACATATATTAAAGGCCTTCAAATCATTGAAATATTTATATGAATATTTAAATAAATTAATTACCTTAAATCTCGGCGCCAAGTTTTATATAGAATATATAAATATCTATATCTTCCGTTTGTAAGGAAAAACCAAGATACCAATAGTACAAAGAGCAGCAGCCAAATCTGAAAGAAAAAAATATTGTCATACTTGCTTGCACAATGTTTGCAATATCGGAAGAATTTAGGAATCTTTTTGTACAACTATACAATTAATAAAAATAAATTTTCGTGGACGTCTAAATTCTATTTTATTATTGCAAATGTTCATTCTGTATTATTTTTGTAAGTTAGTGGTACTAATAAAGAAAGTTTTATTAATTTATTTACAGAATAGAGTTCAGATTTCATACTCGTGATACAGTTCTTGTTTAGTAGGTGCGTTACAAACACTGTGTTTTACAATGGAACGTCATTATTTGAATTTGGACAAAATAACGAAACAGAGTACATGGAGGAACTCCATCTGAGCAAAATCCAGGACTTGGACGTGTTTCAACTGGATCTCAAGATCAATTCTTAGTTTTAACCACTATAACAACCTACAATTACAGCATCTAAATTAGTTACCGACCTAAAGCGGGCACATCAAATAAGTAGAGATATTTTAAGAATTCGTCTCCATGAAGTCAATCTTTATAATCGAAAACCACTCAGATGTTTGCAGAGGTAACCACGCTGCAAGATTAGAGTGTCGAGGACATCAAAATTGGAGGGAAAATGATGAGCTACAATTTTATTTATTGATGAATCTACATCTTGGATAGCATCCAGATTCACTTCGAATCCATCCCGAATACTTATTGGCAGCAGAACCGACCTCGTTTTTCCAAATCGGTTCCTAATAGCTCAACACTACCTCAGTACCATTCTTCGACCTATTGTTTGCCCATTTGCTGTTGCTGTTGGAAAAATTTGTCAACTCATTAGCCAGCCAGCAAAATCCTCAGACTTTTATTAAACATGTATGTTTCATGCTTCAACAACGAATTACTTCACATATGAACAACATTCAAACTACATATCGCTTTCGGGAGTTTCTTGTATTAATTCACTAAAAAATGACAGCTGTAACAATCACTCCTTGCTATCTTACTTCTAAATTATAAATTCTTGCCATCCTTTGTTTAAATAAAAGTCGTCGATAGAAAGACTGAGAAGACCATAATAAAATAATTAATAGACTAACTGAAATCTAAAAAGAAGAAAGATATCTTTGTATGACTTGTACGTTTAATTAAAAACATGACAAAATCTTTAATTCTGTTAAAGAAAATTAAAAATATCCCTAACACTTTTAAAATCGTAGCTTATTTTAAAAAAACATAATGATAAGCATTAAAATGTTTATTTATAACAATCGATAATATCAATCGTAGTTATTTTTAAACAAAACATTTTCAGATTGATAATCCTGCACGATTACTAGACGTGGATTGAAATCGTTATTTCCTGAGATAGTAAATGGGGACAAATTCCAATACTATTTTCACACTTCTTGGCGACGTGCAAACATACAATACCATTAAATTATTACTAAAAGTTTCTTAATCATAATCCCATTTTCTGTGATACTGCAGCCCTTGTTGAGCCTCTAACTTCCCTAGTGTGTTTCGTGAGTCGTTTCCGTCCATTTCCAACTATTAAAAATTAGCTGCTCCAATTAAGTTTTGGACGTATACTAAGCATTTTATACAGATTGTGTAGAAATAAATTTTAGAAAGAATGCAATATGAACGAAGTTTGAATCAAAATTAACTATCAGATTATTGTCTAGTCAAAAGAGGGAAATAATTTTCTCCATGTAGCAAGAAGCTACAAAAACTAAACCTCTAAAGGACTTTAAAAAAGTTCAGGAAACAACAGTAATGGTAAATGTCATAAGTTTAAGTATTTTGTAGGAAACTGCAAAGAAAACGAGATCTATCCAATATAAAGAATGGTCTTATTCGACACAAAATAAAAAATGCTTGAGATATATAAGGTAGTAAATAGTTTGTGTCTATCGATATGATCAGAGGCTTTTTTAAAACGTGGCAAACTCTTCAAGCACAACAGAAAAATGAAGCATATAAGAGACTTCAGCAGTGCAGAACGAGATCAAACCTGGAAGACTATGAAAATCTTAGACGAGAAGGAAAAAGAAAGAGATTGTTAACCAATACAATAGAAAAGATTCTACCAAATTCTACCCGAAGATAAACAGCTGCAGAAAATAATTCAAATCCAGAATAACAGCATGTAAAGACAGAGATGGTTCCATAATTAGTGACAAAGAACAGATACTAAACAGGTAGGCGAATCATTTTGAAGAACTTTTTAGCGACAGTCGTGAAAAAGGCCAAATAGAAATTACTTTGCCTGAAATGGATGAAAACGCTCAAGAGCCGCCCCCCAATAAAGAAGAAATTAGAGAAGCAATTTCAAAATTGAAAGCTCAAAACTCCTGGTTTGGACAATCTTCTTGCCAAACTCTTTAAAAATGGTGGTGACACCCTTTTTAAACACATGCATAAATTAGTAACCGAAATCTGACAAAAGAAGGAAACGCAGACTGGAAATTAGGTGTAATGCACCCTGTTCGCAAAAAGGACGATATGATGGTGTGTGATAATTATGGAGGCATCACCCTACTTAACGTGGTATATAAAGTATTGTCCAATGTATTGTACAGAAGATTGATCCCCTATGCTGAACAAATAGTTGATAACTGCCAGTGCGGTTTCCGACCCAATAAATCAACAACGGATCAAATCTTCACAGTCAGGCAGATTCTTGAGAAAACGCTTGAGTTCTGAGTCGACACCCACCACATATTCGTGGATTTCAAAGCCGCATACGACTTAGTCAACAGATAAAAACTTCTACAGGTTATGAACGGAACTTACACTTACAGGCGTAGAGAGTGTAGTCAGAATCCAAATCGACTTTGCAAGACGCTTCGATAGTAAAAATGGACTGAAACAGGGAGATGGACTGTCATGTCTCTTATTTAACCTTGCACTAGAAAAAGTAATTCGAGAGTGCCATATTAATACGAATATCACCATCTTTAATAAATCCGTACAAGTGGTCGGATATGCAGATGATATAGACATTATTGCTATAAAAGGTCCACAGAATCTCTGATCAAAGCATTTCGATTATTAAGGGCACCTGCACTGAGAATGGTATTAAAAATAAACGCACAGAAAACCAAGTATATGTATTGTACTAGATCAGGTAACCGGATACCTAGACTATTAATTGATGATCTGGAACTGGAAGGTGTGGACACCTTCATCTACCTGGGCTCGCTGCTGACCAAAGACAACAATATCAGCGAAGAAATTAAAAGAAGAATAGTGCTTGTCAAGAAGTGCTATTATGGCTTGAGAAAACAGAGGGCACTAAAACTACTCAGAAAAATTAAAATTAACATATATAAAACAATAATAAGGCCAGTGTTAATATACGGGTCAAAAACGTGGTCACTTACACAGAACGACCAAGAATTGCTTAAACGTTTCCAGAGAAAAATTGGAAAAATAGGACATGTAATTAGGCGAGATGAAGATGCAAAGATCAGAAAAAAATTCGACCGAAGAGGACCGGTGGGAAGACGAGCCAAAGGAAGACCAAAACTTAGGTATCAAGATAACATAGAGGATGGTCTAAAATCCATCAGAGTTAAAGCATGGAGAAGAGTTGCCAGAGACAATGGTGAATGGAAGATTGTTTTGAAGGCTTTGGCTTATAACGAGCTGTAATGCCACTGATGATGATGATATAAGGTAACCTCTTTTTCTGTCATTTTAAATAGCTTGTGTCTATCAATATGGTCGAAAGTTTCTTTAAAACGTGGCAAACTCTTCAACCACAACGCCGGCCAGTGCAAAGATCATCACCTAATCAGCTTATTGAGTCTCGTAGTAAAGTGTTCTTAAAAATAATGTATAAGTAGATTTATAACAAATTTGAAAAGAGAACGGGAGGCATTCAGTTTGGTTTCAAAAACAGTTTACGAATACTAGAGGTACTTTTGCATACAGTTATTGGTTATCAAATGCTATGACCAGATAAGGGATGTCTTTATTTGCTTTATCGATTACCAAAAGTCTTTTGACCATATCAGACATGATGTATTAATACAGGCGTTTTCAAGGGGCATTTATTAAAGGCATATATACAGAGTACAAATAAGAAAGGATATGAGATATGGATGGATCTTCTTATCTTTGCTGTTTAACATTTATGTAGACAAGATTTTTGAACTTGCACAGCAGAATGAAAAAGGTATCAAAATAAACGGAATTCCCACAAATAACTTAGTTATCAGGAAAGATGTTTCTTTTCAAGTCCTATTTGCCATTCAGGATCAGGTTATTCCAACTAAAAATTACCTGAAATATATTGTCAAAGACCCTCAGGTCCAAAACGATAAATGCCGATATGGATATCAAACCCAAGAAACCATCCAACATCTTACTGGGTCCTGCCAGACCTTTGTCGGAACTAATTACAAAGAGTGCCATGACTCAGTAGAAAATATTCTTTACCAAGAACTAACTAATAAAATTATAAAACGCAATAAAATATCGGAAGAATGGAGAACAAGCGAACTAATTCTACTATTTAAAAACGGAGATAAAAACCAACCAAAAAACAACAGAGGCACAAACTTGTTAAATACCGTATGGCTAAATATAGATAATAAATAAGAAATGAATGATTCAGAAGAATCGAGAAATGCCAAAAAATATCAAATCTCGAAAGATATAGCTGCTACTACAATCTATTCTGCAAGGAAAAATGTTTGGAAGGCGAGGTTCAGGAAGAAAAAGACCATCATTCTGAAAGAACCTTAGAACCTGGTTCAACACAACATCTGTGCAGCTATTTCGCGTGGCTGCCGATAAAATAAAGATTGCCATGATGATCGCCAATATTCATCACAGCTAGCCACATCAAGAAGATAAGAAATTCGACAACCATTTATTAAAATCTTGGCGCAATATTTAACAACAAAATTAATTAATAGGCGTGATTTAAGACTGACCAAAGTCAACAGAGATGCAGAATTGCATAATCCTGACATGATGTTATGATACCGAAGAAATTATCATGAAAGTTAAAAAAAAGTATTCATCAAAATATAACCAACGTTGTTTACTAAATAGTTGCGAAACATAGATCATGAACAAACAAATCACAAGCAAAATAGAGATACGGAAAAGGAAAATACTTAAAAGAGTTTACAGTGAACTAAAAAGGCGACTTCAGTGGATGAACTATAAATACCTAGAACTTATGAAATATTCAATATTAATTAATCAAATAGCATTAAAACACCAGAAGGAAAAAGAGAAAAAGTTGGACCAATAAGAAAGTTGTGGGAAGCCGCAAGATTTTAAATAAAGTGAAAAAAAAATTAGAAAAGCTAAGATAAAATCCGAGAAGATAGAAAAAATTACTCAACTATAGGAATACATTATCATATATAATACATAATACTTTCTATTTAGTTAATCAAACTCGAACTATTATTTATAATTAAATAATAATATAAACATATCCAAGATCAATATTAACATTATATAATATTTGAAAGAGATAAGTTATTGTCAACAAAAGTTTAGTTTACAAACCTGGCAGCATAAAATTTGTGCAAACATCGTTTTCACACTCACAAACGCGAATTTAACAAATTCAATTAAAATCAGCCATGCATCTCACCGCACATCTGTTTTGAGAATAGACCGTGCAATTGTGATAAGTTTGTTGTGGATATTTAATTTCAAATGTGTTTTGAATGTAACACTGCCTCCCGCCTATCTTGTATTCCACTGGCATGCTCAGTTGTTGTGGTTGAGCGCATGCGGCGCAGTAGCTTTTCTTTTGATACCGAATCAAAGACACGGAACAGAGGCGTATTCAGATATTTATCAAATACGTGGTGTATCAAGTTCTTGGCTAACTGTAGGGGAGACCGGGGAGAGTTCGGACACAGGGAGACATCGGACACATTTGAATTTCGCACATTTTTGAAGATGCACTGTTGTCATTTGGTAAACACAACCTTATTTGTACATAATTATAGGTTATGTATTGACAGCTGTGATTTCGGTCGTAGTCACAGAGTTATCTATTGTGAAGTGTTTTGTCGAGTTTTGTTCTAAAAATATCGGTGCAATCCAGAAGATATATTTTAAAATACATAGACTTACCACGTATAAAACTTTGGTGCTGTAATCTACTATACTTATTTCATTAATTTGCGTTTATGTTGTTGCAATATTTAGGTAAGTTTTTTTATAAACCCATTGTATTACCAATGTTTGCATTAGGGGAGAGTTCGGACACAGTGTCCGAACTCTCCCCTGTGTGTCCGAAGTCTCCCCTGATCTGTAGTTATTCTATTTTTCTCTTACAGCTCATAATGCCCCGTACATATACAAGGGTAACAGAACGACAATTTTCTGCAGACACTATGAAAAATGCCACATCAGAGGTGCTTGACGGCAAATTGAGCATTCGGAATAGCGCCAAAACCTACGGCGTTCCTAAATCTAGTCTTCTAGATTACATAAAGAAAGCTAGAGCTGTGGGTATAGACAACGTAACATTCTCTCCAAATTTCAAGCAATCTCAAGTGTTTACCGATATAATGGAAAAAATGCTTGAAAAATATTTATTAGATTGTTCTTCCATGTTTCATGGACTAACGCCTAAAGCTGCAAGACGTTTAGCTTTTGAATTTGCCAAGAAAAACCATGTTAAAATGCCTACTACATGGAGCGAAAATGAAGAAGCTGGAACAGACTGGTTTTCAGGTTTCATGAAACGTCATCCTGTACTATCTATTAGAACACCTGAAGCCACTAGTCTCGCTAGAATGACGAGTTTTAACAAAGTTACTGTTGAGACGTTTCAAAATAAATTAGAAGAAGTTTTACGTCGTCATTCTTTTGGATCTTCAGCGATTTTCAATTTAGATGAAGTGAGTCAATTAACAATTTTGTTTAGTTATTTTGATAATTAATATCACTTATTTTTTAGACTGGGGTTACTACAGTTCAGCGTGTACCTAAAATAATTGGAAGAAAAGGTCAACATCAAATAGGGCAGGTGACCTCACGTGAACGTGGAGAATTAGTTACACAAGTGGGCATAATTTCTGCTGATGGAAAAGCATTGCCTCCTATATGGGTATTCCCACGGCAACGTTTTGATGAAAACCGCATGATGAAAGGGGTTCCTCAAGTTGCTTTAGGATTAGTATCTCCTTCAGGATGGATGACAAGTGATAATTTTTTGAAAGTACTTAAACATGTTGTCAAAAATACACTCTGCTCTGATACTAATAAAATTTTACTAATCATGGATAACCACGAGTCCCATCTCTCAGTGGAGGGACTTGATTACTGCAAAGAAAATGGAATTACTGTTTTGACACTACCACCTCATACTTCTAATAAGTTACAACCTTTGGACCGAACAGTGTTTGGTCCTTTCAAAAAGTTTTTTAATGATGGTGCTAATTCCTGGATGTTGTCTAATCCTGGTCAGACACTTTCTATATATGACTTGCCTGCTATTTGTTCTTCTGCTTGGGACAGAGCTGCCAATCCAGTTAATATTAAAAGTGGTTTCAAGTGTACAGGTATTTGGCCTTTTGACAGGAATATATTCGGAGAAGAAGAGTTCTTATCTTCTTACGTGACAGATAGACCAATGCCTACTACAGAACCGGAACTCGGAAAAAGAGATTTTGATAGCTTGTCCAAACCGGGGCCAAGCAAAGTTTTAGTTTCTCCGAGTCACTCAACTTCTCCAAACATCATTTCTCCAGAAATGGTTAGACCGTTTCCCAAGGCGCCAGAACGTAAAACATCAAATAGAGGCAGGCCTAAGGGCAAATGTATCATTGCCACGGATACTCCAGAAAAAGACGAAATTGCCAACAGGAAACTAAAACGATCTGTTACAAGGAAAGTAAATCCTAAAAAAAGACAGAAAGTCACTAAAAAAATTGTTGAAACATCTTCTTCTTCTTCCTCTGAAGACATAATGAGCAATGAAAAATCCTCTGACTTCATAGAGCAAGATGACGAAGTGGATACAGAAGAAACAAATATTGCAAATGGTCAGTTTATAATTGCCAGAGTTTATGGAAAAACACCAGCTACATTTCGGCACTATGTTGCAGAAATTCAGGAAAAACAGATAAAAGGATACGACGTAAAATTTTATAAAAAACATGCCACTTCTAATCGGTTTATCTCCACTGAAGAAGATGCTTTTGTTATATTTGAAGACATAAAATGTATTTTACCGAAGCCCTTGAAAGATACACGTCAAAGATATGAAAATATGATCTATTTTAATACAGATTTAGAAGATTATTCATTGCATTAATTTTTTAATATCTAAACATGTCTATTTTTTTTAAATACATTTTTATAAGTAACATATGTTGTACTGTCCGAAGTCTCCCAGTACTGTCCGAAGTCTCCCAGTTCCTAGTCCGAAGTCTCCCCGTTTCTGGGGAGACTTCGGACAAATGACCCCCTGCAATATTTTTTTATTTTTGTTGTTAATTTATTGATTTGATATATTCTGCTCTTGATTGGTTATGCCTGAACCTTGGAAGCTTAAGTTAACTACTTTAAAAGGTAAATATATCAATACACTTTTCTAATAAAAATTAATTTTTAAAAATGGTCCGAACTCTCCCCGGTCTCCCCTAACAGTAACATTTTTTTAATTATAATTTTAAGTTTTCGTCCAAGATTTTGTTTTATGTTGGGCGGAGGATTTTCTATTGTTCAGTAATTCTAATATTTTAATAAATTTATTCAAATTATCTTCCACTTCTTTTCATTTTTGGGTATTTAGTATCATTTTGTTTTGTTTTACTAACATTGTGTGCAGTTTAGTTGTTGAATTAGGCCAGCAAAAAATACAGAAAACCTAGAAGCTAAAAAAAAAAACGAGCAAGAAGCGTTCTTTTGGTAAAATCTACCATTAGTTGAAACGTGAGTTTAGTCTTAAGACGGAAAAAGGTTGAGAAAAGGACATTTTTTGCAAAGTTTCTATTTTTTACTGTTTTACTGACAAATACATTACGTTCATGTGAACAAATTTAAGACCAGTTAGCATAAAATCAAAAAACCTCTTTTATTTTTCGTTGGAAAATTGTTATAACAAATATATTCCCTCTGGACAAATCACACCCTCAGAACTGACAAAGGCTCGCTTATGGTTGCATAATTGACCCTCAATCTCAATCAAAATAGATTTGATTGCACAAATTGTGACAAGACAACTAGAATTTCCTATCGAAAAAAATAATGCTTGTAATGTGTTTTCTTTGTTTTCAGTCTTGTTTTTCAATAAATTGAGAACGAAGAGGACGGAACTCCTTCGTCTACCTACTTCTTCTACTTTTTCGACGGCACTACAGCCCAAATCGAGCCTGGCCTCCTTTATTTTTTGTCTCCACCCTTCGTCCATCTTGCCTTTATATTTTTTGCATCTTTAGCTACGTAACAAAGTCTTTTGTGACTAACCTAGTATCTAGTAAAACTCTAAAATGGCGATCTGAATACTTTTGGCAAAATTGCCCATTTTGTTTATCATAGGTATATATGCACATAACCTAAAAATTTGAGTAATTTAAAAAACAACGCCTGAAGTCAAGCATTGTATCGTCTAGAATCAATTAATTTAATTCACCGAATTTTCTTTTTATGTTACACAAACAAATTCCGGGTGTCAAAAATAGCAAATTTTTTCTTGTTTTTTCTTGTTTTCTTAAAAGATTGTTGATGTATATCATTAATAGCTGTTTTGAGTACACTGCTAAACACAGGTTTCCCGTATATAATTCCATTATATACGGACCTGGATCAGAAAATGGCGAATGTGACTAAATCTGCATACAATAACTTTAAAAATAAATAAATAGAAAATTTCCCAGTTAGAATAAATGATATCCAAGTTCCTTATGCAACATCCGCAAAATACTTGGGCATCACCCTAGATGCTGCTGCAGGCTGCGCTGGAACGTCCGTGTCAAAAAGAAAACAGTGGAGCTTGATATTAGATATAAGAGTTTGTATTGGGGCAGATTGAAAAAAAATCAACATTATACATTCATAACAAATAATTCATTTACAAGCAAGTACTGAGGCCAGTATGGGTATATGGGTTCCAACTCTGGGGCTGTACCAAAGCTACTAATCTGCATATTATCCAGAGATTTTAAAACAAAGTACTGAGGAACATTGTTGATGCTCTTTGGTATATCCGTAACAGCAACCTCCACCAGGACCTGGTTATGGAAACTGTAATCGAAGTAACCCAGAGAATAGCAGCAAGTCACTAGCAGAGGCTTCATAGTCATGTGAATGTCGAGGCAATCCAGCTTCTTTACAACATTGAACTAAAGAGAAGACACATAAGGACAAAACTATTTGAGTTAGTATAAATGTGTAACAGTTTAGTATAAAAAGCAGAGTATAGTGCTATGATGTTAGTTGCAGTGTATTAATTGATAGATAAAATAAGAAATAAGAGCAAGCCATAAGGTAAGCCCATAGATTTAAGTTTTTATTAAGTTTAGGTCAGAAAAAAACTAAAAATTGGTCATTTGGGACCAGATAGCAGTATACACCGTACACAAAAAAAACATTGACCTCTCCATTGGCACTTTGCAACAAGTGGCACATTTCTCTGTGCTACTTGTATTTTATTGGTTACTTTTCTGGTAAGACTCAATGTTT